AGCTGCTGCTGCTGCTGCTGCTGCTGCTGCTTGCTGCAGGCAAAACCCATCCATAACATTCAGTCTCACGAGGCGGAGGAGATTCAGCAGCTGCCACTACCCAAGGAGCAGCAGCAGCAGCAGCAGCAGCAGCAGCTGGTGCTGCTGCTGCTGCTGCTGTTGCTGGTTGTGATGCGTGTTCTGCTGCTGCTGGTGCTGCTGCTGATGCTGGAGAAGCTGCAGTAGCAGGATCTGCAGCAACTGCTGCTAGTGTTGCTGCTTGTGCTGCTGTTGCAAATGGTGAAGATGCGGCAGCAGCAGCAGCAGCTGCTGCTGCTGCTGCTGTTGCTGCTGCTGCTGGTGCTGCATCTTCTCCAGCCTTCGTATGGAGGTTTCTTTGTGTGTATGGCCCCCCACCGTTATAAGAAATGTTTTCTGCTGCTGTTTTTATATTCTTTTTGTTGTATGTGCTGTTGATGAGGGGGGGAGAGCAGCAGCAGCAACAGCTGCTGCTGCTGCTGCTGCTGCTGCTGGTATGCCTCTTCGGCTGAATAAAATAAATATTTAAATAAAAAGAATGAAAAGAAGAATTAAAATAAAATTTATTTTCTTTTGCTGCAGACCTCAACAACATGCAACGCCCAGCTACCATCATCACCCAGCGAGCGGGGGCCCCCCAGTATATGCATTACAGTTATAATTATGCAAATATATAATAAAAAATATATATAAATACAATTATATATATTTGTAAACAGAAGAACTCAAAGAAATACCCCATCTGCCTCTCTCAAGCCCTATCGATACACAGGGGGCCCCCCGGGGGGCCCCCCTAGCTAGGGGGCCCCCCCGCATCGGGGGGCCCCCAGCAGCAGCTTCTACTGCGGGTTTGAAATTGCTGCAGCTGCGTAGTAATTTTGAATTCTTTTTTTTTAATATTTTTACATAGAAGTGGCGGTGAATTGAGGTGTATGTACACCTCAGCTTGTTGCAATGGGGGGGGAGGAGGCCCCATCGTCGTTGGCTGTAGGGGAGGGTGTTGGTATTTGTTTGAAGGCAAAGCGGAAAAAGGGGGTCAATATGAGTTTAAATAAAGAAAAAAGAAATAAAAAAGAAATAAAAAAGAAAAAAGAAAATAAAGAAGATGAACACGAATTCTCTGCTATGGCGCAGGAGTTGCTGCGGCAGCACTGCAGGGGGATGTGGAGCGACAGTGAAGAGGAGGAGAAAACAAAGAAAGAAGAAAAAGAAAAAGAAATAAAAAGAAAAAACAAACAGAAAAAATATATAAACGCATGCAAGCAGCCTGAGTCAGCAGCAGCAGCAGCAGCAGCAGCAACAGCAGCAGCAGCAGCAGCAGCAGATGAAACAAACAAAAAAAAAAATAATAACAAACAGCAAGCAATCAGAAAGCAAAACAAAAGAATAGAAACAAAAAACGCAGCAACAGAAAATAAAAATAAACAAACAACAGACATCACCACGACCGCCTCTTTCAGTCTGCATGCTCCCCCTCCACAGCAGCAGCAGCAGCAGCAGCAGCAGCAGCTGCAGCAGCAGCAGCAGCAGCAGCTAGCAGACGCAGAGATCTTCGGCTTAAGAAAGAGACAGCAGCAGATACAGCAAGAAGACTCCCCACTTAAACATAAAAGTAAAGGCCTAGGGAAATGGAGCTGCATGCGCATGCGCAAGCATGCAGCACCCCCCCCAGCAGCAGCAGCAGCAGCAGCAGCAGCAGCGCCTGGTACTGCTGCTGCTGCTGCTGCTGCTGCTGCTGCTGCTGCAGGTGAAGCAGAAAATATAAAAAAACACGCAGGAGAAGACACAGGGGCGGCGTCACGGTCGCTGCAGCTGCTGAAGAAGATGGGGGGCATCTCCTCTGCTGCAGCAGGGAATGCAACCAGAAGCAGCAGCAGCAGCAGCAGCAGCA